ACAATTAACGATGGCGGAGAAAGAACGAGCTTTTCTCTTGTCCAACCACCCCTTTTCTCCCGCCCTCGGCGTCGAGAAGACCAACGAAAAGAGACAAACTCGCGATTACAGACCACCGACCCTCCTGGCTAATTTCAGACTCCTGTGGCTTGTAATAAAGATCCTCTGTCAATTTTCCATCCCCAATCGCGGCCAACAATTACCAACAATTTCCAACAATTTCCAACAATTTCCAACAATTTCCAACAATTTCCGACAATTTTCTGTCAATTCCTCGTCTCGGTTCCAGGAGTCCTCGTCGCGACTTACCGAATTTTCCACACGTAAGACATTTGCTTGGACGGTAACGAAGTCGTTCTACAAGGGACTGCCCTCTGCGATTGATTTCTTTAGGGAATGAAATCGAACAAGGACACGGATACTTTAAACTTCCGTCCACGCGTTTCGCGTATGCACAGAGACGATTTTCTGCCCGATCCCCGCATTGTTAATTCAACTTGCTCCCCTCGCTGTCGAGGGAAACCGAATTCGACTGTGGCTAACGGGCAGGCTTCATTTGTTTCACGACTAATTAACTTAATTCATAAACGCAGCCGCTCCAACGATTCCGGTATTTTTCGTAGCCGGCCATGTTCCGCGGATAATTGAGCGCGCCAACCCCGTTCGATGGTCAATGATATGCACACAACGTGCACGGTTTAACCAATGATTAATACTGGACGGTGAAATAGATCGCGTTACGAGGAACGAGCCCCGCATGAAACTGACACGTTCATTTTTACCGGGATTGTTAGCTACAGGACTTTGTTGCGCGGCAGTATCCGCGAAGTAATGTTTACACGTCACAACGGTATAATAGTAGTAATTAATTAAATAGAATATGTTTTGCAGAATTCTTCTCTTCGAGAGGAAGATTTAATTAATTTTATTTGGAATTACGGCTGGCATTGTAGCGATGTTGATCATTATATACGAATATTAATTTGCTGTCTTTTGTAATGTGCAAAGTAATGATACTGTCCAACAAATTATAACCTTTTCTCTAATCTGTAATATCCATTAGGTGATTCTGGTAGAGCTTACGTTTGTGAAAACGAAGCCGTCAGTTTTCGAGAAACGCGAGCTTTTCCAACAAGACTACTTCGTCTTAGCCAAAGATACAGAGGAAATGAAAATATTTTCACATAATTGCACGTATCGTGGAAATTTATCCTATGGAAGTGCAAATGCATTAATAGTTTATAAAAAATGCATAAATTATCAAATTTATTATTAATAGGAGATTGTTCACAACGTAAATTTATAATAAAAGTGAACAAATTATTAAATTATTGGTTATTACCTGAACTTATAACGTATTTATGTTAAAAATTACACTTGTTATTGTTAATAACAAATTGTTCGCGATGGAAATTTATAATAAAAGTGAAAAAATTTATAAATTACCAGCTATTATTCGAAATTAGAACGTATACTTGTGTTAAAATATACGTATAATATATAAAAAGTTTATAAATTATTACACTGATTGTTAAAAACAAATTAATATTGTTACTAACAAATTGCCCACAACGTATATTTATAATAGCAGTGAAAAAAATAGTAAATTATTAGCTATTATGGCGAAAAAATAATAAATAATAGAATCGGTAAAGTTAGAAATTTTTTAATCGGGGTGAAAACGATACCAAGCTAAGAGCTACGCACAAAGTTTAAGATATTTCCTATCTTCTGTAAATTTTCGATGTTTCAGTTAAACATTTGACGATTTTTGAGGATGCGAGAGGTAAGTGGATGGAATTCTTGGCAATGACGTCATTCAAATATACTTATAGTTGTTCATAGCGTAAATTTATAATACAAGAAAAGAATTAATTTATTGGTTATTACTTGAACAATATCATACTAATGTTTAAATGTACCTATAATTTGCAAAAGTGTAGAAATTATTACACTTATTTCTAATAACAAATTGGTCACAACGTAAATTTATAATACAAGTGGAAAAATTACTAAATTATAAACTATTACTAGTATATATAACGTATTTGCGTGAAAATGTATTCGTAACTTACAAAAAGCTAATAAATTAATAAATTTATCGTCAATAGCAAATTAAAATTGTTGTTAACAAATAGTTTGTAACGTATATTAACGATAATAGTCAAAAAAGTTAATAAATTATTAGTTATTACAGCGGAAATGTAACTTTTAAAGGAATCGGTAAAGTTCGGAAATTTTCGCCGATCTTCGGCCGG